GCCCCTTGCCCCCGGGCATCGCCCTGCGCTTGCTCCGCGTGCCCCCTTCCACCGTGGGGCAGCCTCTGCTCCGCACATCCGCAGGGAGGACTGTTCAGTCCTGAGCAGGGATCCTGGTTTTCTCTGGTTTAAAAAAAATCCCCCCTTTTCTGTTTAAAAAAAAAAGTAAATTCACATTTTTCCACAATTAAAATGAAACACTATACATAGATCTATAGATTAGTGGTGTTTCACTTTAATCAGGGGAAAATGTGGTTTTGGAGTTACTTTTTTTTTTTTTACCGAAAAGGGGGGATTTTTTTTTAATTGGAGAAAACCAGGATCCCTGGTCATGAGCATGCCCGGCCCTCCCTTGTCCGCCCGGGGGCAAGGCAGTGCTTTCCTTGTCGCTGCCCAGGAGAGCCAGGTGCTGATCCCTTTCACTTTCCAGAGGGGAAGGAGCCTTGAAGAGGGGCCGTCTGGAGCGTCTGCTGACATCTGCAAGGCGAAGGCAGTGCAGTGCTACTGAGCTGTTGTCCTTCCTACTAGACAAATCTTGTCCGCATCATCAGCTGCAAAAGGAAAGATCTCTGTGCTGTTTGTGCTGGAGTTTCCAGCATTTGGGATTCGGGGGACCCTGAGTTAGTGAGGCTGAATAACCAGTGCAGTAGGGAGGCCTTGTTTCCACCCAGGAAGCAGCTCCCCTTCCATAACAGGCAAATGAATGCTCTTATGTTATGTAAAAAGCAATCGGGGCCCATGGACAGAGGTAATATCTTTTATTAGACCAACAAGATTTTTGCAAAAAAAACCATTCTTTAACATTTGCAGAACATTTTTTTGCAAAAATCTTGTTGGTCTAATAAAAGTTATCACCTCTGTCCATGAGCCCTGATTGCTTTTTCCTCTAGGCCATTCCGGCTACAACCTGCATACCTGACTTGCATACCACGTTATGTACAGTTTGCAGAGTGGTTTAAGATCCGTTTGAATGAAAGGGCCTTAAGCAAGTCCATTATGCTGAAGCCCTTTTCTGTTAGTACTATAAAAGCTGGCCAAGTATGTTTATCTGGAAGGAATGAAAGATTTACGAGTTTACCCTGAAACTGAAGAATTTCCATAGGGGCACAACACGGGGACAGTCTCATCACGTGTCCTGCCTCCAGAAACCACCCACACCTGAAGAGAGAAACAGAGCCCTCTATGAAGAACCCAATGATTTTTTCAGTCTTGTAGAAAGGGGGGTCAGTATTTTCTTGACTGTTCTAGCAATCACGTTATACCATGTAGCAGGAAATTGTACATATCTTAATGTAAGTATCTGTGCACATTTATGGTTTAAAATTATCCAGTTGCCCTAACGAGTGGGAGGGGATTTGGACAACATTGATATTTTTTTGTTCTTCAGAGTTACTGAAATAAATGTGTGCTGCAGGTGCTGGGCGCCATTGAAAATCTGGCAGTATTCCTCTTTCTGCCACAGTGAATGACATAGGCTGTGCAAATGCACAGTCCCATTTTCAAAAGTGGCTTCAGGTCCTATATGCATAAATTACTTTTAACACTTGTCTATTGTTCATTTGGATTTACACTTGTTGCCTTTCTGTTTTTCATTGCTTTATATAGAAAGAGTAAACAAGTATAGATCATTTTCCCTTTTCCTCACTATCTGTTTAGATCTCAGTCTGGTCCTATCGAACTCTTCTTCCAGCTATAAGTAACATGATGATCTTCTGTATTCCCATTGCAAAGCTAAACTCTTTCATTGCCACATTCTGAACCTTTTCAATCTCTGTTCTATCTTTCTTGATCGTAGTCTTGCAAAGAGAGGCCCATATGTGGATTAATGTCTGTACTGTATGAAGAGGTGTGTTTGTCCTCTTTGCATCCCATTTCTTTAATGGATGATGTGCTCTTGGCAGATATCTTCATTGAGTTGGCCAGATCCTGAATTGGCAAGCCAGTCAGTTGACCAGTTGAATAATGTTAGTTGATTGTGGAATATTTGCCCAGTCAAATAACAGGCAAAGCCAAGAAAGCCCTTGGGTAGGTAGTGGTCTACCTTTCTTATTGCATCATGTTGTCATCTATTAGCAAGGACAGGAATGAGAGTTCCTTGCCCCCCCAGTTCTGCAGAAGACACACACTCACTCACTTACTCTGTCTCTGTCTCTGTCTCTCTCTCTCTCTCTTCATTTGTGTACCTTCCGTGGCCTGCTCCTCTCTCCTAAGCTTTTCCAGCCTCCTTTCCTTTCCCCACTTTAAGTCATCTGGGGCTGCAATAGCTATGCTGTACTGAGGGAGGAGCCAAAACTAGCTAGCAGCAGGGCTTCTGGGATAAAAGCCAAAGAGAAGAAAAGTTCAGTTTTTAATACCATCCACAGTTATACTTATCTAAAACTGTCACTTGTAATAAATTATTATAGCTTTTAGAATTTAATTTAATTGATTCATAACAGCTAAATTTTTTTGTAATAAGCATAGGTGTCTAACCTCTTGAAGATTAAAGTCTCTCTTTATTCTTCTAATAAATACTGGACCAGTATTTGATCAGTCAGTTGACTAAGTATATTTGACCAGTCAAATACTTAACCGTAATCCAGGTTTATTCCTAGGCTCCAAACTCATGGAATCCTACCAACACACTTGAGAAATGGTGATTATTTTTGTTGTTGTATTTACACTCACTTGGGTTAAATGCTTGCTATTTTCTTTTGTTAAGAAAGGTGGTTTGTACTACAGTGTTTTTAAAACTAATTATGAAAAGCTCCTTTCTTTGGGTCCCATTCTTCCAGTGGTTCATGCATTATCACTTTCCACTTGCAATAAGTACTTACATTTACAGCAACACTGTCCATGGTACCTGTTATTCAAAGATAGTATGTTCCTTACAGATAATAATTTAGCCTTGCACAAGCTTTTGTGAGATACAAATATAATTCTGTCTGTAACACGATTAGCACTCTAGGGGTGGTTGTGAAGCCCCTGAAGGCCATGCAGCTCCTGTCCTGCTTTGGCTCTAGGGTCCCTGCCCTTCACTCCCGCCTGCCATGCCTTGCTGTTCTTAGTTAATTTTGGAAAGGGAAGCTGCCAGAAGGCCCTAGAGAAAGCCCTGCCCTGTTTTCTTGCCAGTGGATCCGTCTCAGACCCTAGCAGACCCAATCCAGTTTTCTCACTTGGTGGGCCATCCTGGCCCATGCATGCCCCAGGGCACCTGCTGCCTTGCAGGCTGTTCATGGCCTCTGGCCACCCCTACAGTCCTGCCTGTGCCTCACAGATGTTACTGATTAGTCACTTCCCCTGTATTGGGGCCTCAGCCTTCCCAGCCTCTGCTCCTTTTTCTCACTGGGCCTTCTAGTCCCTGCCCACTGTGTTGTATCTGACTTCTGAGCTTCAGCTCATCTTGCCTACTTCGTAGTTTGAGGCTGTCAGTCCTGGTCTCACTGTCTGGAACTTTGGGCCACTAGGCCTGCTCTTGCCTCCCTAGGCTGTGAGTCCTTGGCCCTGGTCTCACCCCTCCAGGGCTTTGGGCCCCTGGACCTACATCTTGCCCTTCTCAGGCTCCTCGCCCACTTGGGCTGTGGGCATCGGACCCTGGCTGTTGCATCTAATTGCCTGCTCTCTTGCAGCAACCTTGCTGTGGGCAGTGTTCCCTTGAATGATTGCAAGTGTTCCCCTTTCACTTAGTGTGCAGCTCTCCACCTAGGTAACAGTGCTTCCTTGCTGTGTCCTCCTTTGCAGTTACAATCCAGGCAGCTGAACAGAGGTTATCTGCTACAACTTCTTCCCTTGAAGTAACAGGAACTCTAGGTTGCCTGTTGCAATTCCCATTTTACCAAGGGGAAAACTAAGGTGTGGAGGAGAAATGACTTGCCTGTGTGCAGACAGAAGTCTATTAAGACATCTCCTAAATTTCCCGTTTGCATTTTTAAGTGTAAAATTATTCTTCTCTTAAATCTGTAGTATTTTTTGGCCCTCATTGCTATGGTCTTTCTGAATGCCTTCAGCTCATGATCTGTTGGGATGAGCAGGCTACAACCAAAGGGGAAGGTCTGGAGCTCAAATTAAGATCCCCAAGAAGATGGGGTAGATGTTGTCTTGGTTGTTGGGGTCATTCTGTGCTGCTATCTCCTTCCCTGTGGCACATTTACTTTTCTATTGGTCTTTGTCCAACCCACTCACTCCTGCAAAGTGCTTGGCACTCTCAGCTCTTAGTGACCTCTAGGAGTTGAAGTCCCCAACATCTCAGAGTCTAAGCCTGAACATCATGGACTGAAATTCCTAGTGAACATGCTATGCGCTTACTTTTCTGATGCAGGCTTACTTTTCTCTGCCCTCTCAGTTACTTTATGTTCACTGTCAGAAAGACTGGCTATTCTGTTTCACTGCTGATTACCAGCGAAAAGGCAAGCAAGCTACTTTCTTTAGGACTATGCTGTGAGAGCAAAGCTGCCCTTAACAGACAAAGAAGTAGTGTGTTGAATAGTTGAATGCTGGCAGTGCTTCCTCATTGTTGTGCATTTGGTCCTTTTCCCTTCTTGGCCTCTGGCTACATGGGCTGCATATCACACAGTTTTAAAAAAAAGTTGAAAATACACCCAAGTGGCTGTCCCACATAATGAGTGATCCTGAACACGCCTCTGTTACTGTTCCACTGGTAGGAAGTGCACAGCATACCAAAAAAAAGGACTTGGTGCTCATAAAATGCGCTAGTCTAATTGAATTCTGTGAGTATAGGCATAAACCCATATAGGACAACAGGTCAAATCCAGAGGGATTTGCCCAGAGTCACAAGACTATCATGGACTGAAAATACATCCCACAGTCAGCTTTCCCATTTAGCTTTCTCCTTCTGAGCTGACCTGGTCATCTAGGCCATTAAGCAAGAGGGAGCTGATGAGGTGGCCCCATGAATTTGTGGGGCCAGACATATAGTATGGCTGGGGAAAATGTGTCACTCTGAAGTGTGAAGGCCTGTGTTTAGCAAGGAAGCAGTAGCAGTGCGGCTCTTGCAGGCTCCTTTATCAATGTGCCAAGGCCCTTTGACTTCCCCCCTCAGCTGGACACTCTGGCTGCTATTTGTATCAAAGAATGGATCCCTCTTCACTGACAAAGTTCTCCGCTGAGATTTTCAAAGGAGCCAAAGGTAGTAAGGTACCAGCAGTCACAAAGCCAATGGGATTTGGGTGCCTGACCACCATAGGCTCCCTCAAAACATTTGAATTTGATGTACTTGGAGATAACCAAGGTTGTTCAGTTCAGAGTCCAGGTTTGAACCATCCCAGAGTTCAGGACTGTTCAGACTTGGAAGTTGGAGCTCAAGCCCTCCTTTTATAAGGGTCCTCTATGCTAATGTCTTTCTTTGTCTTTCAGCCATGGCGATGCCAAACTCCCTCTTGTGGGCAGTTGATATATTTGGGAGGGTGTACACTCTTGCCACAACAGGCCAGTACTGGGAACTCTGCAAAGATGGGCAGCTGGAGTTCAAACGGGTCTCTGCGGTCAAACAGTGCTGTTGGGGAATAGCTTGTGATCACCAGGTCTACACCTATGTATTCTCAACTGATGTTCCTATTAGATACCAGGAGGAAACCTATGAAAATCAGGTGTGTAAGTCACGAGCCTACCTGCAAAAACTCCCATGAATTCTTCAGGCAGGGTTAGCAGTAAGATCAGAATTCAGTTGTCCGTATTGATCGGTTTTCCAGTAATAAAGTTGTTTGCAATGCAGTATGGTAAATGTGAGAGAATTCAAAAAAGAAGCATAAGAAGTTGCCATATTTGGTGTTCAGACTGAATGGGGAAGACAGGCAAGCTTCTGCTGGATCCCTGCCTTCTCTGTGTCCTACAAACCATCCTGAGCAGTCACTGGTTGATTTATTTTTAATCCATACTTCAATCCTCTGAAGAACTGTTTCACAGCAAATAGCAGGCTATTCCTTTGATGGTTTAATTCTCAGCAGAGGATCACATTCCTAAATATCTCCCTGTCCCCCAGCGGGAAAACTTAATCTTCACATCACTTGCAAACAAGGTGCTCTTGAACACCAGCCACTGCAGACAGAATCACCTGATCCCATCGCTGACCAAAAACTGATGCCATATCACTTCACAACAACAAAGCCTATATAGCTTTTTAGCAAATGTTATTCCTGTTGATTTAAATTCTATAGGAGGCTATTTTCCATTATATAGTTCTTAAAAAAATATAGAATGCTGTTACTCGTCACATACTATCAGCTTCTCTATAAAAGGAGCATCGACATTTTCCTTTATAATTGCATTGTAAAGAAAAACAATTTTAAAAAATGAACAAAACCAAAAACTCTCATATACATGGTAAAAGTCATTTCAAAGCTGAAATTGAAAGATTATTTCCTGCATATTTCTTTTGTTTTCTGAAGGATGGATGGATAAATATAGACTATGTTTGTATTTAAATACTGGAAGGTATTTAAATATTTTCCTGGGCTCATTTTTATATATTGTTTAATTACACACTCCTTTTTAGAATGGTCCTTTTCCCATGAAACATGTTATTGGTTAAAAAACCATAACTTTTTATCTTCTTGTCTCAACTGTGAATGTAAATGTGAAAGGAACATTTGGTTACAAATTAGTTTAAAACCATGAAAAATAGAAATTGGAGAACAGAAAAGGAAGTTTTTTATGAAAACAAACAAAAAGAGTCATAGCAACCAGACCATGAATAGTGGCGGAAGGGGAAAATAAATGTGTAGTGCAATTTAGCTTGGTGTCCAGCAGGTATAGATAATACTTTATGAATACACTTTGATCTTTGTTCCATAAGATGTGATGCACCCATCCAAGGAATAGCGATAGCTATTTCATTATGACTGAGAGTAACAGTGTTGTGTGCTCTGCGTTATAAAGTTGTGTCAACATGGCAACTAAAAAACACATCCCTAATGGCCCTAACTGCGTTAGCAAAAATCATGACATGACTGCGATGGTTTAGTCAGGATGATCCTGCCTTGAGCAGGGAGCTGGACTAGATGGCCTTGTGAGGTCCCTTCCAGCCCTATGTTCCTGTGATCCTGTGTGCAATTATAGCAGTAAAAGATTTGTTGTGTTCAGGGAACAAGAAAGAGGTAGGATGTCAAACAACACCCTTTTGCTGGTGCAGAATAAGATAGATACACCACTGAAGACCTCTGAGGCTCTGTCTGCAATCTAACAAGGCAGCACAACCTTGAAGGCACTGCATATCGTTGTTCCTTTCTTCTCTTGGCAGCGTTGGAATCCAGTTGGTGGCTTCTGTGAGAAATTAATGCCCAGTGATCGCTGGCAATGGAGTGATGTAAGCGGGCTAAAACATCAGCAACTTGACAGTTTCACACTGCCCTCGCCACACTGGGAGTGGGAGTCTGACTGGTATGTGGATGAAAATATTGGAGGGGAACCAACAGAGAAAGGGGTAGGTGAACAATACCGGCAAGGGATCCATTCTGGGAATCCACATCCTATTAAAGTAAAAGGCATTTCTTATCCTCCCCTAGCTACTTTTTTTCTGGGAAGTAGCTTGCCTGCAGTATAGCACTGGTGGGGTATTGTAGAAGACTTTAAAGCCCAAAGAAATCTCCATTAACTTCAGTAGGTTTGGAGCTTGCACTAAAATGTGAGCAGTTGGATGCCGTTACTATTTACTGTAACATTTTTATTACAGCAAAAATAAAGTGCTCACTGGTTTTGTATGTATATGATGGGGTATTTGAAATGCAGTCTATATCTGTAGAGTCATTAACTGATACAGAATTAAGAAATCCACTGATCAAAGCTACATGCACAGTAATTTGTATTACATTTGTAGGAGAGATTCTTTTGTAGAAATGTTCTGAGATGTTATTTAATGTGTTCCTCCACTCCTGATCTTTATGAAAGTAAACCTCTGTTCAAAGGGTTGGACATATGCAATAGACTTTCCAGCTACCTACACAAAGGATAAGAAATGGAATTCCTGTGTCCGACGCAGAAGATGGATCAGATACAGGAGATATAAGTCACGAGACACTTGGGCAAAGGTCTCTATCTTTTTTTTTAATGTACTTATTATCTTAAGTGGTGTATGAAGAAAATGATGACATGAAAGCGGGCAAGTCTACACTTCTGTCACTGCTTATATGCTGTGGGAAGAAAAGACAGGACCTTGGACGCCACAGCTGCAAATGCAACACCTCTTGCTAGCATTATAATTTCAAGGCTGGGATTATTCAGTGTCCAAATCCTGTAGAAATTCAGTGGGATTTATATATCTAACTCTTAGCTCCTCTGCAAATCCCAGCACTATCTGCCAAACTTTTTAATATTAAAGGCTAAGAACTGTCTGCATAGTTGGGTCTATAACTTAGATGCAGGCAATTGCCCAGTCTTATGTATGCCCATATAGGTCTGGAGGGGAAGGGTATTTCTGTCTGCTTGTCCCAGGTCTCAGATTTGATTGTCCTCTGTAGAGCCAAAGAATAGGTATTTTGCAGCAGTAGGAGTGAAAGTTTCCTCCATGCTTCTCCACCAGTATGTCTTTCCCTTGCCTGAAGGATGGAGCTTTGGGTAAGAGGAGGAGATCAGTTAGACTGTCCTCCATGCCCAACCATTTGACCAGCGGTCAACTGAGCTAAGTTGCTCATTTCCCTGCAGGTACAATATGTGGTATTACCTCTTCTTCCTTTTCTCTAACTCCTTTTTTTTGCTATAGATTATATCCCTTGAAGATCCCCATCAGCTGCCAGACCCTTTCAATGATATCTCCATTGGAGGATGGGAAATCACTGATGAGCCTGCTGGCCGTTTATCAGTCTGGGCAGTTTCTTTACAAGGAAGGGTATAATCTTTTTCATGTGTGTTCTTCTATTTTGTATTTAAGTCATCATTGTGTAGGAGGCTAAGAACTCCAGGATTTGAACCCAGACAGATGCTCTGTCACATTGCTATCACATGCTTGTCAGGATCTGTGCTGATTGCATATCTGACTGAGGGATAGAAGATGCGACAGGCTGCTGAATGATTCAGCTAAATTAAAACTAAAGAGGGAGAGTTCATTAGTGTTATCTCATAGGAAAAAGTTGCTTCTGAATGTTAAACTAAACCAGCAAAAAGGGCAAAATTTTCATAGACTTTAGGGCTGGAAGGGACCTCGGAAGATCATCGAGTCCAGCCCCTTCCCCAGGAGCAGGAAGTCAGCAGGGGTCATAGGATCCCAGCAAGATAAACATCCAAATTTCTCTTGAAGGTGTTCAGAGTAGGTGTTTTTTAGTCCTTTTGCTTGTGTTGAACAGTACTTTACTTTACACCAGTAAGTATTAACCTTTATGGCAGGGGTGCCAAAAATTAGCTCCACACCCTTCCTGAGTGCCACTCCAATCCTTTTCCCTTACCCAGTCTGCGGCTCTACTCTCTGCTCCTTGCCTGGCCTGACTCTGCGGTTTTTGTTCTCTTGCCTATCTGTCACTGTGCTGTATGTCCCCTCTTCAATCTGCTGTATGCCACACACAGAGACTGCTCATGCCACCTGTGACACCCATACTACAGGTTGGGCTGCCCTGTTTTACACCATGAGTTGTCCCACCATAGTCAAAGCCAGCATGGGATTGGGGCAGCACATGGTGAGATTGATCTGTCCACATGCTGCCCCAGGTCAGAGCACAATCATAATGGCTCAGGATTATGGTAGTGCACAAAGCATTGTGGGATCAGGGTGGCATGTGACTGGATCAGGCTCATATGGGATTAAGGCAGCAAGACATGGGCTGGCCTGCAGCCAGAGCAAGGTAGTGCAGGATGTGGGGGTGCATAGGCAGATTGGGGCAGTGGCACAGGATCAGGGCAGCGTGTGGGTGGATCACGGTGCTATAGAATCAGGGTGGTGTGAGATCAGGGCAGCGCATGGGCAGATTGGGCTAGCATGGGATTGAAGCAGCATGAGATGGGGTGGTATGCAGCTGGATTGGGGCAGTGTGGGATTAGGTTTGCACATGGCTAGATTGGAGCCAGCCTCCTGCACCAACCCCACAATGAATCCAGCCCATGGACTGACTCTGCACCACTCATCCAGCCCAGGGGCCAGAAGGTTGAGTGCCACTGCTCTGAAATTGTTTGAAGTGGAAGGGTAGGATCTGGAAAGGAGGATGAGGAGTGACAGGACCCTAAGGAGAAACTTATTTTGGTTTAGCTTCTCTTTGTCCAAACTGGCTTAAACCACACCAAAATAAACCCAGTTTAATCCACAATGAGTGACCAGGCAACTTTTCGCATCTTTTTAACTGAGTTGATTTAAGTTACATTATTTATCATATTGATTAAGGTAAGCACCTATGAGCCAAATGAGAAGGCACTCTCTTATGCCAGTTACTGTACAAACATAATGAGACAGTCCCTGGCCTACACAGCGTACTTTCTAAATATGTAATGCAAAGTGTAAAGGAAAAGGATGCATCTTGCACAAGGTGTCATTTAAAATAACCCTTTACTTTAAAACAGTCCAACACAGGGGGTAGTCCGCCCCTTCACAGGGTTTTAAGTCACATTAGCTAATTTGATTTAAATAAGCACTTTTCTCCTTCAATCTAGATAGTTCCTCAAGGGCTGGCTCCCTTATTGTTTTCAAGAATGCCAGAGGGACAAGTTAAATTTGCTGAAGGGATTAAATCCTCCTGAGCTGGCAGTGAGCTATCCTTGGAATCTAACCCTATAAAACCTTTAATTAAATATTCCAGGCCAAAATTCTCAGCAACTGGCATTGTTTCCATAAGCCTCTTGAATCCTTCCCAGTGTTGTAAGAATCTTGCTCTGCTTTTCTTATTTCATTCTTATGGTGTAATCTCAGCTACCCTCTTTCTGTCCTTGGACTGGTCCTATCATGTGATTCTCAGGCCTAGAAATAGCTTTACATGGTAGAAGTGAGCAGCAGCATAGCAACACAGCCAGGCATAGGGGCAGTGGCAACTTCCAGTTGCTGCCATGCTGCTGGCATGATCGCAAGTTTTTTCATGCCCCACCAAGTCAGCACGGGGGGGCAGTTGCCCTGCCCTAGTAGTTATGGTACTGGAAGAGATTATAATCAAGTGGTTATAACAGATGCTTCTGGATTCTGTGCCCACTTTACTACCAATTGGCTCTGTAGCCTTCGATGACTTGCTTCAAACCCTGGATGCCTCAGTTTAGCTCCCTGCCTTAGACTTATAGTTTTAGTTATAAAATATATATCTACACAACACCAATATAGTGCTTTGCCAGGATACCCAAGCTAGCTCTTTCAAAGCATTATGGTATAGATGTGCATTGATTTCTACAAAATTAAAATGTTCATGAATGTAAGAAGGCTGTGCTCATTATCCGCCACAAAGAGGAATATGCATAGATCAAAGGATGCTTTTCATGCTGAACCTTCCTGCTACAGATGTATGCTAAAGAAGAAAACATGTAGACATGGTGAGGGGTAGCAAGTACAGAACCCCAAAGTGACACCTTCTCTCTGGTGTGGATAAATTGGACTGTGTTTGGACTGGACACCATCAAAGGCTACATATGTGATGGGGTCTTGACTCCTATCCAAACTGTGTCACCCAGTGAGCAGTTCTGTATGCTTAATCAAATTGTCCAATAATAACCTGAGCATGTTGTCTTCATATGAATGATGTACTTTCTCCTAAAGAAGGAGACTTAGCTTAATTTATTCAATGTGTCTGAAGCCCATTTATGTGCTTTAAATGTTGAAACACATAGGGATCTTGTGGCAACAGATCATGTGCCTGCTCCAACTTGGCTTGCATCATAAAAGCTACGCTATAGAAGTCTCCTCCCTGAGCACACAGGAAAATCGTTTACAGCTGTGTAATCTGCATCAGCAAATGCCATTTAAAGGGGGAAAGAGCAAATGCAGTCAAATGAGAGGTGGTTGAAGAAGGGCCACTCTCCATACCACTGCATGTTTGTCCTAAAGGTTGTGATTGTTTGTGTTGCAACAGCATTTTTCTAAAGCTTTTTGTGTTTGTCTAGGTATGGTACAGAGAAGATGTTTGCCACCACAATCCAGAAGGCTCCTTGTGGTCCTTAGTAGCCACCCCCGGCGAAGTAGTACAGATCAGCTGTGGACCATATGACCTCTTATGGGCAACTCTTTGGGAAGGACAAGCTATTGTGAGAGAGGGAATTGACAGAAATAACCCTCGTGGTAAAGTTCTGTCTTGTCATACAAAAAAAGCGCTCTGGTTTCTAGAGATCGTAACAAGAATCCAACGTACAAGGACTCTCTGTTCTGTGTCTTTGCAGGAATTTCTTGGACAGTTGTGGAATCCCCAGGCTCTGAAAATGGGATCATGCATGTCTCTGTGGGAGTAAATGTGGTGTGGGCTGTTACCAAAGACAGAAAAGTAAGAGCTGTGTTCTTGGTTCTCTTTCCTGATATAGGCACACTTAGGAACATCTGTAATGTGGAGTCCTTTACTGTCCTGGGGGAGTCCGAGTGTTTCCTCCAAAGGTGAAGGGATGCTACACAGTTCTTTCTGGCTGAACAGCCAAGTAACCCTAATGTTTGTGTTTTTGAGATGCTGCTGAGCCACTTGCTAGTACAGGAACACGTTCTAACTAAATAGGGTGCTGGCATAGGTCAAGGCAGAGCTACAAACAGTGAGCCATACTCAAGTCAAAGAGCAGTGAATGGATTCAGTTGGGCAGTTGTCAATCTCTGCTTTACACCACCACCACCACCACCACTACTACTACCATCATTACACTTCAGTCTTGGAGTCTCAAACAGCCTTAGTGTGCATGGGTGGATGCAAGCTTAGTGCGCCTGCAACTTCAAGTTTCAGAGTGATGTCCCAGATTATCTTTTGTGCTGATTACAATCAACCCCCTCTACCTACACTGTACTATGAATCTGACTAGCAACAAATCTCCAGTCTACTTGCAAAAAAAAATCTTTGTTTGATTCCAAACACTAAGACTGCTGTAATTATCAGCAGTTCTTATTGTGACATAGTAGTTTCCAGGATTGCTGGATAATTTTATTAGTTTAACAGTAAACATGAGAATTTCTGGGGCTTGTATATAAGAATAAGTTATTCTGTGATAAGAAAAAAGTAAATTTTAAATGTTAGAGTTGTTCTGGTATAATACTCCCTGAAGAGAGTTAGAGAGCCTTTCTCTGGTTTAACTTGCATTTTTGCAGAATTCTTAAAACTGTTCCACAATAAATGTTGAATTTGCAGGACTTAGACTTAAACTGGTATAGCTGTACCAATTTAATTATTCCATTTTAATTATAATGGCATAACTAGAAAACTTTCCTGTGTACAGAAACCTTTAGTCAGATTTGTTTTGGAAAGAATTATATAGTTACTCTAACAGGAGATTAAATTTATTGTATGTTTTGATTATTGTAAAAACCCTGCTGTTATTCTGATAGACATTTTATTACATCAGAGCCTAAGAAATGACTGAAAAATGTAGGGAAAGGGGGACTTGAAAGCAGAGACATTAATTAAGAGCCTTTTAGGCACGTATGGTTGGGCTGTAAGAGAGTAATTTCCCAGTGTGCCAAAGAAACTAAAATTTTCTCAGAAACTAACTAGATGACTCTCAGAGACTACTTGCCCTCTAACTTCTGAGAAGAGTTCTAAGCAGGATGGGCTTGTTGCTTATTTATACCATAATGTAAGCCTTTTACACTCTGAAGGCACTCTAAAGGGGCACTAAACCTGGCAGGCATGGCATTTACTTCTGAAAAACTGCCATGGTACTGGCAGAATGGTGCAAAGGGACCATAGTGCAAATGAAAAATCTGGCATCCTCTCCTTTATTCATAGCCAAGTCCTTTAGTATGTAAATTAGCAAAGGGTAGCTTTTGATAAGGTGAGATGGTAAAAACTGTAGCTAGGATTTTGAAAGGAACCTAAGGGAATTAAGCACCTATCTATCTATCCAAGTCTCTTAGGCCCCACTGAAAATCTAAGCCTTACAAGCTACAGCTAACAGCCATGTTTGACATGCACACTAGTATGTGCTTCAAGTGGCAGAAGGCAGATAAAAGCACAGGCCTGGGGGTCCAGGGACATTCTCAGTTTGGAGTTGAGTTGGTGCCTTTAAAGTGTATAGTCAGGTACTCCAGGGGCAAGTCTAACAATTGTACCCATTCTTCAGTTGCATGGTCTTGTGCTGTGTAAAGGACATTATTCACTCTTATAAGTATTAATAAGACTGCCACAGTACACTTTGCAAAGGTGATTAAGGATTACAGTATTATCCCCACTTAACTGATAGGAAAACTAAAGCAAAGAGATAAGCCCAAGGCCATGTGGTAAGAGAATAAGACCCAAGAGCCTTGACTCCCAACCACTTCTTTAACCCTAAGTTCCTCCCTGTAGGTAGGGCATATCCAAACTTTAATTTCATTTATTACAGGTGTGGTTCAGGAGAGGGGTAAACTCACACAATCCATGTGGCACCAGTTGGATTGAAATGGTTGGTGAAATGATGATGGTAAACGTAGGCTTAAATGACCAGGTAAGACATCTTAGTAGTTGTACGTGCCTGGATTCCTGCTGTGCAATTAGGCTACTTGCAGATGTTAAAAAAAGCAAAACAAACCTCCTCCCACCTCCCCACCCCCAAAACCACACTTTACCTGAAGAAGCAATGTGTTACTTCAACCTGCCTCTGCAACATCTGTAAAGCTCATGCGCTTCAGTGGGGCTTTTTGGCACTTTTAACTAAAGCTGATTTAATCAACTATTAGATAAAAGTGCCATAAAAGCCCTACTAAAGCGTCCAATCTTTACAGATGTCAGGCAAGCTGGGCTGAAGTAATGTACTGCCTCTTCTGGGCATGCACAGGGCTCAGCACAGGAAAAACTTGAAGCCAAAATACAGCCTACAATAAGCAAAAGGCCCAAATACCCGACCCACTAATAAAGCACCCAAAGCTGAATGAAATCCCATGAGTTTGCAATGAGAAAGCATTTGGTGGATCTGTCTCTTGTGCATCGTATTTGAGTTAACATTAACAGTACACAGAAGCTGTGCACCACACCTCAAATACTAGCCCTAGAGAGAAACTCAAAAGATAAACTCTGGATTCAGGTAAGCTCTTGCCTGAATTGTCCCTTCCTCAAGGCTCCTTTTTTAACATGATGCCTATCTGCATGCTATTCCATTACTCATTTAGCACACAATGACACTTCCTTCAAAGCCTCTTTTTCCCATAGGTCTGGGGAATCGCCTGTGATGATCGAGCAATTTATTTCCGCCAAGGTGTCACAACGAGTGAGCTAAGTGGGAAGACATGGAAGGCAATTGTATCTGGCAGAGAGTGTGACAGATCTCAGACTGGCAGCTCAACTAGTCTGCTCAGGTACTGAATAAAGTACCTAAATGCTCTGAACTCTGTGATCAGGGGATTATGATGCTGACAGAGTCCAGGAGGTATTTCTGTGAATACAGAGGACAGGGTGGCCCCTCACTGTAACCTGGAGCAAACCCTAGACTTGGATTCTCCTGCCATTATATGCCAAAGTACATTTATATTCCTTCGATTAAAAAGTACAGTGAATAGCAAATGTCAGTTTGAAGTAAGAGCTGATGTTCTCACATGGGAGTATGGTGCAGCCTTCTAGGAAAGTGAGGAGACCTAGGATTTTACAGAGGCAAGAACTACAGAGGGCTATCCTGAAGGTATCGTGTCCACTTGTTGATTATCTGTCTCACCATTGCTGTCACAGCATCTTGCCACTTTCCTTCCCAAAAAGGATAAGTGAATGGCTCCTTGCCAAGTGTTGGCCTGTCTGCCATGAGACTGGGAATGTTGCATAAGTCTTCCACTATGCACTAAGAGTTAGTGTAGCTATGTAGAAACATCTCCAGCTGAGAGGAAAGCCGCAGCATTGACAGACTCTAGACAGTCCTGCTTGGTGTCTCTTGGCCAGAAAGACGGTGACTGTAAGATGGAGTCTGATATTTTGGGTTATTTCTGCAGACCATGTGTTGTACTTTCTTCCCTGGGGGATGGAAGTGAGCCTTGGAGTTCTGAAACCTGAGTAGTTTCTGTCTGTCTCTGGAGCTGTGCTAGCTAACAGTGCTGTGAATGATGGCCAATTAGTTATTTGTCTCTTTGTTCCCCAGTGCTGGCTGTTTTTTTAGTGACGAAGTTAGGGACCAAGCAAACTCAATCATTCAGAATGATGGAGACATTTCCTCCGATACCGAGAGCCCACACGTGCCTCCAAATCATGCCAATGCTCCCCTTTCCAGAGCTGCTGTCAGCAGCCATGAGAACAGCACAGATGCACAGAAAGATGTGGGTGCACATGTGGCTGTGGATCCTCTGGATTCTGCTCAGGAAGAAGCTAATTCTACTTCAGGCAGTAGTGAGAAAGCTGGTCTTGAAAAGCCTGAGTCTTCTGTGGACCAGGATACCCATCCAGCAGAACTGCAGTGGACAAACATTGATTTAAAGGAGGCCCATAAAAACCCAGTCCTCACTGCCAGCGCCTTCAGAGAAACATCCAGCGTATCTTCCCTTGGCTTGTTCCCAGCTGGCATTGAAGAGCCCTATGGAACTGATGAGCACCCGTTTTGGGCATGGGTATCCGGTGGAGGCTGCCTGGTGGATCTGCACAGCCCGCTGAAATGGTTCACTATTCAGCCAGGTACTTTCAGTTCCTCATGGTGGGGTCCTGATCCACAATTTGGGCCTATTTGTGATGCCGTAAGAGAGACAATTATAATAAAATACTGGGCATTTAAAAAAATAAGGTGAGAGATCACCCTTGTACTAGTTATTTGTTACCTTTTGTGCATGAGATGAATGCACTTCCTACTACACATATCAATTTTGGCACATTTGCCAGAAATATTATGCACAAAATAATCACTTTTTTGATGTTTTGGGAGTCCATTAGTTCCTTCTGGGAGCTTAGAACAAAATGGTGTCATTGTATAATTGAATAAAAATTAAAAAGAGTCAAAGGGAGGGGGGGAATTGGTGCTCACTTCTACTAGGGGAATTGGTGCTCACTTTTCCATTTGGTTGGAAAAGATGTTGGACAATCTTTTGGGCATAAAGTGCCCTTACAACGGCACTGCAATCTTCCTATAAATCAAAAGCAATTTAAACACATTCCCTTCACAATACAAATGCTATAGCATAACTCTACTAGTTTTAATTAAACTTCAGCAGTGTGTTAATTTGACAGAGAAGAGTATTTATCATTGTAAATGTTTGCTATGGCTAGAGGTGGATTATAAATAAGAACCCAACCTTGTGAGGGTCAGAACATGAAGCTCTGAAAGAACGGAAGTACATCCGTGTTTTCAAATAAACTGGTTGCCAGAATTTACTCAGTCTGTCGCTTCCCAAGATTTAAAAACACCTCAGTGTGTCTTGTATGCTGGTTCTCCTCTCAATTCAATGGAAGAACCCATAGGATGTATATTCCACTCTATGGGTATTATGTGGGTAGTATTTTTTTAGATGATTATACAGTCCTTTGATCAATATTTCTATACACCATTTATGGTATTCTCAAGGTCCCTGTTATAACTCCACTGAAGGTGTTGTAAAGGCAATGTTACCCCCGGGACTGCTTGAATCCATTGTGTTTAAAGCAACAAATTGTATTCCCTCAAGTGTCTGGTACTTCAGAGAATTGCACTCAGAGTTCACTTGGCTGTGCTGTTTTTGGCTGTGCTCTAGGTTTGTCGTCTTCTGTGCAGTCCCTTTCTCTGTCAATCACTCCAGCCCAGACAGCGGCTTGGCGAAAGCAGATTTTCCAGCAGCTAAGTGAAAGGACCAAGCGGGAACTGGAAAACTTTAGGCATTATGAACAGGCAGTTGAGCAAGTAAGTAGGGATGTCTCCTGTTTCCTTTTCCATTATTATCATTTAACCATTTCAGTTTTGGGCATCACTGATGATACTTTCCAGTATGTGGCCTGAAACCTACTGTAACTTCAACCTTGTATCTCTTCACCCTTGAATCCCTATAATCAGATCTGTCCATGAGCACCTGGGCAAAGCCTCAGTAAAACTGGAAGCTGTAGGAGCCACTAAATGTTAAGCACGTATGCACTTATGTAAAAGCACTGGCTAGTAACATAAAAACACTTTCTTCACTAGAAAACAGAAAGCTTATCAATGCCAGTGCACTTGCCACTGAATGTCCTAAAGTCTTTTTTTTATCAGGGATGTAAGTCACTGAACTCAACAAATTCAGGCCCTTCTGCTTGCTTTTGACTCTAGTGAGTAACACTTGTTCTCTCCATGACCAGAGGGAGGACAGAACATACCCAAGTAATTATTATAATAGGATTTCAGATTGTCTTCACCATTATTATCACATAGAATTCATTGGGTCTCTTCAGAAATTCCATTTAAGATTTAGGACCCGCCTTTGATAAGTGATTTAAATTGTCTTATCTTTATAAAATATTAAAATACATTTAGGTTTAATTTGAATTTCACAGTGATTTTTAATTAGGGTTACCATATTTCCAATTCCAAAAAAGAGGACACCTGCAGGAGGGACACCTGACTTCCAACCCACAGACCCCCTGGCCCTGCCAGTGCCCTTCACTCCCAAGCTGCAGCCCTCTGTCCCTGCTGCACCTCACTCCCTACCCACAGACCCCTGGCCCTACCAGTGCCCCTCACTCCCCACCCACAGCCCCTCCCCCCCCAGGTATGCTGGTGCCCCTCACTCCTACCTGTCTCTCACCCATTGACTACCTCAATTTACATTTTCATTGACTGG